GTGAAATTGCAAGGTAAGCGAAGCTGCTTGGATCTGAAGCTGGTTTGAAGTTTGAATTAGGAACTTTTGTTTCTAAGCTGCTCCTGGAGGGGCTAAATATCGTCATAAAGGAACCCAGTTTCCTCTGAGGCCACAAGCAGAACCATATTTCTCCAGTTAGGATGAATTTAACTAAAATTTAGCAAAGTTACAGCCTCAAATAAATCACAGTTTTATCCCTAAAACGACCAACAGGTAAAGAAATGGTGGGTTGTCTTAATATTTTTTAGCAATTTGAGTGATAACGTATTCAAATCTTTCTATCTTCAGGTTCTACAAACTCCTTGAGAGGAAATGTGAACCCATAGTAATGACAGTACCACGCAAGGTGAGTAATAAAACACTGTGAGACTCATCCTTGTAGGTTATGTCGCAACTAGCTCACTGTTTCCTCCTTTGGCTGCGTAGTCGGATCTGTTCCAGGAGGACCTGTACCCTGACACCATCGGTCCAGAGCCCTCGGTTGAAGCTGATGAGTGGTTTAATGGGAAAGAAGCTCCACCTGTTCTGATCTCCCTAAAGGATGGGTTTGTAGCCACCACCAAGGCCAAGGAATTCAAAGTCCACAAGAGCCTCTTGAAGACCACCACTGCAACTGCAGTAGGCCAACCAGACAGCAGCGGGGTGAGAAAAGACTGGAACATTTACTGATTTTGGATTAAGGGTGCCTGGTTGGGCCATTTCTTATTAAAATTCTGCACTTTGATGTATTAATGCACATACCTTTCTATTTTGTCAGGAGGTCCAGTCTCTAAGGAAGGAGGTTCAGAACCTGAAAGCAGCTCTAGAGGAGCTGACCAATCGTGTAAAAGAGCTGGAGACCAAAAATTAAAAGCTTAGAAATTTAGAAAATGTGAAGGAAGGAAAACTATAAACAAGAGCAAAAAGGCAATAGCAAAGAAAATGGAGCCAAAAAAAAAAAAAACTGGAAGAAAACTTCTGTTAATATTTGTTGTGAATTACAGGAGAAGATCAAAACTGCAGATGTCAGAAAATGTGTTTTAACCTGAAGCTTGAATTTGTTTTGTTTGTCTTTGGGAACAATTTTTGATTTATATTTTAATATATGTGTTTAAAATAAAAGTCCTCTGTATTTTCCAAAGTCTTCCTTCTGTCTAACTTTTTTTTTTCCTTTTTATACTACATATAGAAAACCAACAGCTATATTGCACAAAGACCCAGATATATGAATTCTTGCTACAGAAATAGACAGAAAAATTAACCTTTCCTTAAAAAGTATAGAACGAGTTTTTTAAATAAAATAAAAAATCACATAAGAGTCAATCACCCACAGAGTGATTCATTTCATGCATTTATTTCTGTGTATTACTGCATTTCTCATAAAGTAGAAAAAAACTGCTTAAAACATATCAGCCAGCTAAATGTCTGGATGAAACAAATGATTTTGACAGGCTCCAGACAAACAGCTCCAGTACTTATTGATTTTACCTGTTCTAGTCTCTATTTTAAATGCTTTGCACATGATACACAATGCTAATCTTTCTGTCTTTAAATATATTTGGAACCATAACATACATATAAAATCAGAGAAAAGGTTTTTAAAATTACACTAGTGGAGAGAGAAGATTTTTGTGCAGAAGAAGATGTTCCTTAGCTTCACTCGATGCTGCTGGTCAGTCAGGAAGCAGGTAATTTACTGACAGGAAGGATTTGAGCTGGGTAAGGGTTTCTAGGTGGACACGTTTCTCTGCTGTTGTTTTCCAAACATGGAGCTCTTTGAAATCAAAGCTTATATATATATATATATATATATATATATATATATATATATATATATATATATATATATATATATATATATATATATATATATATATATATATATATATATATATATATATATATATATATATATATATATATATATATATATATATTTATATATATATATATATATATATATATATTTATATATATATATATATATATATATAAAACTAGTTTAGCAGTGTTGCTAAAGTTTAGCAGTTGTTGTGGCTTGTGTCGAGTAAGCCATTTTGCAATAGAAATAAAACTATCAAAAATTAAAACAGGAAATTATAATTGGCACAAGTGATTTTGAGCATGCAGGATCTATTCTTTTTGCAGCAATCTCTGGTAGCACCCGTAACCCCCTACTCTCTTTCATATAGAATTTCTTGCAGATTTTATTCAAGCCTGAAGGGATTGTTGCTGGGACACTGTGGTTCATCCTTATCTGTACAGCAGACCTGCAGCCAGAACTATCAGTGAAGCAGGAGCTCATCCAATGTAGATATACAGTCCCCTCTCTTTCTTCTGCATACAAGATGATGTACCAGCAAAAATTGTGGCATTAAGCTATCTGAAATGAACACCTGGGGTCCGTTTCATGAGGCAGGTTTACCAAAAACTCTAAGCTGTGCAAACCTGAAAACAGGTTAACTCTGACTCTGGTTCACAAAGAGAGTTGGAAAATGGCAACCGCAAAGAGGCTACAGTGAAAGCTGCAACAGCCAAATACCTGTAACAGTTAAGGCAAGTTCTGAAAAGTCAGCCCAATGACATGAAAAAGGTCTAGACAAGGTCTGCTTTTATTTTTCTTCTATTTTGTTGTTTAATTCATTTAATGCACTTTATATTGGCCTTGTACTGAATTGTGATTTATAATGCTATGCTTTGTCAGTAATCAGATAACCTTCTGGGGTAATAAGTAGGCCTAAGAAGGAATTTCAGGTCACTGATATTAAAACACGAAAGCTACTCATAATGTGTTGTGGATTCCAACCCAAATCCAGTATTCACAGAACATACACCTAGAGAAAAGAAGGAGGGAGAGGTCTATTGAGGATCAAAGTCACCGTTGATGATTAAGCATCCATCTGGAAGATGGCCTTAAGGGATGAAGCGCTAAATGAATGTCACACACAATGGAAGATGGAAGAGAAGGAATCATAATAGGAGGAAAAACCCCTGCATGGGATGTACTAGTGATGGACATCTAGAGTGGCCAATATGACCAAATCCTACCTATTTGGTTAGTATTGACAGAGATTTCTGGATTGGAGAATGGCCCAAATCAGTGTCATTGTTTCCATTGTTACTTTTGTATGTCAGAGCTCTGATGCTTTGATGATTGGGTTATGTCTGCCAGCAATGGGAAGGGAAGCGCTGATGTTATACCTCTGACTTGTCAAATCTGTGTTTTTATTGACCCTTATTCTGAAGTTCTGAACATGTCGGCTGTGTAGAACATTTTTTCATTTTACGGTTTTAATCTTTTACACTGAGATCGATCATGTTTTACTTATAATGGGGTTTGTCACATTTAGCAGCTCAGGTTAATATATATATTTTTTGTTATACCTTGTATACATGAAATAATCTATTTTAGAGACCGAGAAACATGCTCCTCATGGTATGGTAAACAGTGAAATTTACACTTCTACTTGAGTAATAAACATTAATACTTTTAACACCTGCATATGATCTATTCATCCCATTCCTAATCCATAGGGGTCTACCCTTTGCAGCTAGACCAGCTTAACCTCTTTGTGGGAAAATTATCCACAAGGTTCTGTGATGTTTCTGTAAATTTCTGACCTTCTTCCAGAAAGGTCACACACTGACACTTGAAGAAAAGGCCTGGGTTTCAGTCTCCGATCTAATTCATCCCAAACATGTTCTATAGAGTGCAGGCCAGTCTGCTATATCCACATCAGACTCTGCCTTTCATGTCTTTATGGACCTTGCTTTATGTTCTAGTGCACAGCCATGTTGGAAGAGGAAGGTCCAAACTTTTCCCACAGAATTGGGAGCATGGAATCATCCAAAATGTATACTGAAGCTTTAATAGTTTCTTAATCATAATGTCCCCTCCACCAAAACAAGGCAGTCAGACAAGCACTGTTCTCCTGGCAACGACCAAACCCAGTGTGCTGAGAAACTAGTCCATGCATTTGTTCGTTCAATTACTATTGTAATTCTTTACTATGAGTAAGTCCATAAACTGTAGTTAAAAGCCTTCAGCTGATACAATAAGCAGCAGCCAGAGTTCTGATGAAAGTTCATAAGTCGATTCATATTTCTGGAATTTTAACTTCCCTTCATTTGCTTCCTGTTAAAGCTAGAATAGATTTGTATCAAGCCCTATGTGACCAAACCCCGTCTTATATCAGAGATCTGATTGTTATGTTCCTTACAGAGCGCTTCACTCTAAATCTACAGCTTTAAGTGTGGTTACTAGAATTTATAAAAGAATGGGAGGCAGACCTTTTAATCTTTAGGTTCCTCTCCCGTTTTACTCTGTGAGGCAGAAACTCTGTCTACTTTTAAGACAAGACTTTAAATCTTCCTTTATGAAAAAGCTTATCAACAGAGGGACGTTTGCTTTGTAGATGAGTGAGTAGAGAAGCCAGAGGAGGTAGAGTGAACGGCGCTATCCGGTGGGGGAGGGTTCAGTTTGGACTGACGTTTTTTTTCTTTACTCTGCAAGTTTTATCAATAGAAAGTAATGCAAAAAAAGTAAGGAGTAATTGAGAAAAATGTTTTAATAAAAATGTTTTCTGCATGCATCTGGTTAGGAATTAACCCGGCAGCTTTCTGAATAGGAATAAAGAAATTATAAATGAAATGGCAGAAACATAAAAAGGGATTTAATAAGCACATTTTTTGGCAGCTGAAATATTATATTGAAAATAAACACGGATATCTGATTCCACTAATAAAGACATTTTCTGTATCTCAGTATTTCTCTAGGGTACCATTTCAAGGACTCTAATGGGAATAATACAAATTTCCCAATATATAAGAAATCAAATATACAGGTCAAACATTTTTTGCCAAAAAAAACAAACAAAAAAACAAAAAACCTTGAACAGAGTTAACAGAATTTTAAATTTTTTTTGCATGCAATTATTAGCCGGCAGTGTTTACACAGCAATCTCTGGTGTCCCCTTTCCACTTTTCTCTATTCCATTTCCTTTTCTAACCATCTAGTGGACACCAGTCTCTTTCATAAAGCTACACATAATTGTTGTCTGGAGCTGAAGCACTGCTGCTGTAGCACTTTGCTTTTCCTCCTGAGCTGCTGTATTTGGGTCTGCTAAGCCTGCAGACCAGACCTCCAGTCAGAATCAGCAGCATACCTGCTGCACAGCCGACATCGAGGCACACTCCAATATTTGTCTTCTGAAAGATCTGTGACCCAGGTTGGAGGATATCTTTTAAAGTGATATAAGCCGAACAGCTGACTGGGATGATCGCCATGAAGCCACCCAGCAGCAGGCCCACTGCAGCCACCATGAGGATTCTGGGCTTGGCGTCTTCGTTCTGAGCATATTTGGCAAAGATGGCACCGTAGAACAGGATGAAGAGGCTGAGCCCACTGAGGATGCAGCTGAAGACAACCAGGACTCGTGGAGCTTGCAGGTCAGGGGATACCTGCTGCTGGGAGTCGTACAAACTGCAAACCTTCTGTCTGTTTCCCTCCTTTACACAAATCTTCCAAAGACCCTCTTGAACCACCTACACAACCAAAGACACAGAAACAGGCATTTGCAAACACTGTATTTAATTTTTTTTTTCACTGCCTTACCTTTTTTTTTTGCTCAATGCAGGCATAATGGGATAATATTTTTAATGATAGAACCAAGTCATTACATTATATTTTCCATATGTAAAATATATTGTAATGACTAGATAAACAATCTAGAAAAGTCAAGGTAATGATGTTGGGATTTTGGTTTAAATTTCTGATTTAAAAGCAAAGCAGTTAAGAGAATATGATTGCTAATTAAACTAGACCTTTACCAGCATGGGCTGAAAGGCCACTCAGGGAGGAAGAAGTAATTAGCACCATAAAAACCAGATGTCTATGGTTACAGTACATGTGGGGGAGAAAGGAGGAAGCTTGCAAGTAGCAGCACACCCTCCTAACTGTTAAATGTAAGGGGGGTAGCCTTATGTTCTGTACTTTGCACAAGGGGACTGATCACTTTACAAAATACATTAATGACAAATAAAATAACCTTTATGGTGAAGAATTCAGGCAAACTATCAATGAGATACTTTTAGAAAGACAGTTAACATATTTAAGAAAATTATGATATTTAGAAAATAATAATTTATTAATTTTATTCATATTTGACCTTTAATAAATACAGATAAATAATCTTCCAGAAAAACAAAAAGAAGCATAAAAAATGTACAGTAAGCATTCAACTATCTTCAGTTTATGTTTTGTAAATAACACATCATATAAGGCTTTAATTATTTACCCTTCAAATTGGCCACATCCGCATTCATTTCATACAATATTATGTAATCAATTTCGCAAACATTATGTTTAAGATATGCATGTTTCATTAAATGTATGCACTTTTCCATTTCTTTGCTATATATTTATATGTTTTTTTCTATATCTGTTTAAAATGAGTTAACTGGTTTAAGTGCACTTCACATCTTTTTGTTCTGTTCTGGTATTTTAGAACATTCTGGGATATTTAACTTTAATAATTTTTTTGATATTGGTTTAATTGTATGTTCTGCTGTATTAATTTGTGCTGACCTGCACAGAACATATTCTGCAATAATATATTCTACTATTGATATTTCTGACAGTCTAAACATGTTTACACGCACATAGACTGTTTATTGAGGACCAGTATTCCATAAGATGAAAGTATGTAAGGTTTTGATATAATGATAATATTTTCATGGAATGAAAAATCTGTGAAAAAAATGACAAACGTAAGAAAGTTTCTACATTATTTTTATAACATAAGAAATTTGGTCATGCTACTGTCCCGAGTGCTCTAGTGTTTCTCCACACTGGAGAAGTGCCTCAAACAGAAACCTGGAGACACATTAGAGATCTCAGTCCAGAAATGTGGCGTTCTAGGGATGGCTAAGATAATGAGATGAACCATCAAACTCCTATTAATCTGGTAGAGGACCAGAGCTTTAGATGAAGGAACCACCCAGCAGAACGAGTGGTGGATGAGAGAGAGCAGTGTTTTTTTAAAGGTCATTAAAATGCACTTATTTTTAAATACCTGACTGTTCAGTAAATAGTATCCTTCTCAAATATACCTACATTCATAATACTACATATACAATAATGTGGAGGAAAACATATAACAGCTAGTAAAACTTAATTATTTTAATTTTCTATGCCATAAAGAACTTTTTTGTGTTCTCTGAATTATAATATTTGTTACCTTTTGGGTCACAAAACTTGTTTTTTCAAAGGCAGTCACTCTCCAGCAAGGTAGGGTGCAGCACACAATGACCCCAACAAACCCGAGGACCCCGAGGGCCAGGCAAAGCTTCTCAACTGCTGATGATCGCATTCTGCAACAAACAAAATTCATTTTCTGTCCACAGACACAATCTAAAGCCCCGTGATTACAAACCTATGGTAAGCTTAAACATAGCTTAAATATAGCAAAACAAAGACATCATGTTTGATCTACAGAATCATTAGTTATACACAATACAGTAACTCACATCATGCCAATTGTGTCTTTTAAAGAATTTTTTTTTTTATATTAATCGCTAAAAAGCAGTTAGTAAAAAAAGGCTGCTGTAGCGCCGAGTAACTGATCATATCATCTATTTTGATATAATAGCATCATTTAAGCAAACAAACATATAATATATTATTATATTTAAATGAAAAAAAAGCTTTATAATTAACTCTTTAAAACGTTATTTGCAGTAGGTAAATTATAGTTGGTACTGTCTGTTCACTGATTGAAAAAAAAAACCATTAAGACAACAAATTTTTAAAACAGAAGTCCCTCTTTAACATGTTAACTAAAGTAACTAATGTGGATTTGTACTTTTTTAGGTTCAGCTTCTTTCCTACAACACGATAAGATAAGCTAAGACATGAAAATGTATTTATGTTTGTGTGTTTTGGAGAATTAAAGATGGTAAAGTGAAGTCATTAGTCAAGCCCCCAATACACTCAAGATATTTTTCTATTTTATCTAAATGAATTTAAATAGGTAAAGAGCATGAACTCATACGTCATTTTATAATTTTATCCGATATTCAAGTTTTTAAATCTTAAAATTTGCTTCGTCAACTTTTTAATTCTAAAGACGTGGCAAATGAAAAGAAAAAAAAAATTATAAAATGTATGTTTCATGCATCATATAGCTAGCATTGCAGTCTAAAAAAAAATTATATGTTTTTTATCCATATCTTTTGGTCATTTGGTGCAAATAAATACATACAAAAAGCTAATTATACATTTTTTGATTACATTATGACCGTCTTTGACTGGCCAAGATTGCATGTCAGCCCACCCAGCATTGCCTCGTATGCCCCAGGACAAAAATACTAAAGATTCAACACAGCAGTAAGAGATGGAGTTTTAGCTTCAACATGCTTTTAGTGCACCTATAGAAAAAATGCTTCATGGCAATACATTTTATTTTGCAGGGCAAAAAGTTTACTTCTTCTTAAAAGGCACAATGCTTGTAGGAAAATACATTTGTGACTGCAGCAGCACAGTTGAGTACTCTATATAGGTTGCAAAACAAAAACTAATTGTAAACAAGAATCAAATGTGCCCTCACATAGATATTTAGAGCATGCTGAAAATTTCCATATTTCAATATATTAAGTCAATGAATACTAATTCTATCATCAGTGCGGTTGATTTTTATCAAAATAGACTCAGTTTCTAAGATATGTTTTTCACAACATTAAAATAAGGAAATGCTTACCTTTTCAAAAATATATGGAACAGTTGTGGTGTTTCCTCAGACTTTAAAGAACGATGATCACAGAATGCAAAGTAGTGCTGTTTGTGCAATTCTGGTTTCACATATAAAACTAAGGAGGTTAAACATGGGCTTTTTAACATCAGCTGTGGTTTCCTGTTCCTGGCAAATTGAGATAATGTCAACATGATATTGCCATCTAAGTCTATAGAAACAGGAAGAGATCATGCTTTAGGTCCCTTTACTTTGGCCAAAAATTTAGGTAGAATATTAATTATTTGATCTACATTGATATATATTCTCTGACTCACAAACTGGATATAAACTATAAGAGGTTGGCAAAATTTTTGGTATAAAAAAAAAAAAAAAAACTGGACTTTGCAGATTTTAAGAGGTTTTGCACTGTGAAGCAATCCCCAGATAGAAAGATGGATAGATAGATATGCCTTATTAGCAAAGGCTGTAATATAAGGAAGAAAAAATGTGACTTCCTGTAGAGTTCTGAAGAAACCTATCAATTTTGCTAATCTGATTGTAAATGTTAATCACATTTAAACCTCAAGCAAAATGATTATATGTAGAGTATAATTGCATTCATCTTCCTGGACCCATTACATTTTAAAATTATCTTTTGCTACAGTTACAAATGCATGCAGCCTCTGTAATAGAGACAAGGGTTTCCACCATTTAATTACATGTCATTATTGATATTGTGGAATGGAATATAGTTTAAATGTGATTCATTTGCAATAGATGTCTTCAGATATTTGGGGAGACAGTTTTGATTGAGAGGCAGGAGGACTTGCCATCATTTCTGCAAAAAAAAAAAAAAAAAAAGAGTGGTTATTAAATGTCTCAGTCTGTTTCCCTTGGATATTGGTTGAACATATACCTGTTTTAGAGTCTTCCCAGTAGGGCAGGGCAGCAAAAAGAAAAAAATTGTAGAAAAAAAAAGGACATACGGAGAGTAGTGTTGAAAACAATTGATTTGAAATCTATTTATTCTTTTGATTGACTTTACTTTTGCTTGATTATAATTATAATAACTCGGCAAAGCCTTACCTGCATATCCCGACTATCATGTCATTCGGATGTACCAATCTTCTTCTGCCCTCCAAGCCTCCTCAAAAGCCAATAGCATCAGACTTTCCTTTATAAGCTGCATATGATGGTCAAATGTGGGGGAAAGATCCCCATTCCCATAGATTAACATCATCAACAGTGCTCAGCTTCATGTCTAGTGACTTGGTCTGAGCACCAAAAATCTTTTTATAAATTAATGCAAATAAGGACTTTAATTGCCTCCTTGTTGGCAGTAATATTTAATGGAAACCATGTTTTATTTTAAGGTCCTGTTTCTAGAGGTCAGATAAGTGAGAACTTAAAAGATTTCTGGGCTAAATATGTTTCCAGTTTTAGAAAGCCAGATAGCAAGTCTCCAGGTTAGTACAACAAGTTACTTTGTAAACCTGCTTTGGTTAGTAGATGGATTTATTGAATTTACCCTGAGTATGTTTCACATTCAAGCTGAGACCGGACAGGAAGAAGGTTTGAATTCATTTAATTTTATTTAATCTTATCTCCATCAGCTGTAACACGTACAACTACTTGTTCACAGGACAACATTTCAGCAGCCCTCAAATCATCACAAACAGAACAAAATACTAATAAAACAACCTTATCCATTCCCAACCGGTCCTTCATCTAAACATTCACACACTGACATGTTGTTACAGCAAGAACATGTGTTAGTTATTATTAGTGAGTTATCATTGTGTCAGACCCAATATATTAGACCAAATCACATCAGCTTCTCATTTCTCCAGACAATAATTTCAACCAAAAGTTAGGTTATGAAAAAGTGCTTATTTACAAGGATTTTAAAATGGCAAAGTGTTGCAACCATGCATTAGATAACCTTTTCCATAATTACATTTATTTATAGGTTTTTAACCTGTTGGTTATCTAGAAATCATAGAAGTGCACTGCTTAAGGTGGCTGCATGTTGAAGTAGCTCTACTACCTCAACTCTGATCCTCTTATTTTGCAAGAACTTCGGCTTCTCCTTTAGTTGATCAGTTTCTTTTTTTAAAGGGACACTATGCAACATTTTTCAGTTAATTAATGTGTTCCATAACGTTATGGATGATTAAATGAGTCATTTCAGGTTGAACAAAGGTATTCTCGGCCGCCCTGGTGGTCTGTGGGGGAAATACTGCACTTGCAACTGCAGGAGCACCGACCCGCACCCACAGGCTCAGAAGTCTCGTGAGAGTCAGTCTTGCTTTATGGCGAGAACTGCTACATGCCCCCAGTTAAAAACATTCTCTTTGCTAGCACAGTGGCAATCTTTGTGCAGTTATGCTACGTTCACGCAGCAAAATCGCATCTGCTGCTTCATTTTTGCTGCTTGTACCAGTTAGTACTGACGCGCGGCTGAAGCAGCTTTGCTGCTCTGGCTGCAAAAGTGTGTCTGAGGCGCGTTGGGCGGAGCTTCACTATCCTTTCTCTGCCTTGCAGCTATATTTGCTGTGATCAGTGGGAATAAAGTAGTTTTAATATGTTTTTAAGTGAGAAAATACACCTGAAAACGTAATCAGTGCAGTCAGTTCATTCAGATTATTATCCTGCCTTCAATATGTTTTCTGTCGGAGCCGCTCAGACCCCCACATACCAGGGATGCGCCGACAGTATGGATCCCTTCATCAGCAGCGGTTCACCGCGGCAGCTGGTAGGTGTTTTTCATCTAAATAATCCAAACTGCATATTCTGCCGGCAGATTTCTGCATTTTAAGTTAATTTAGGCGTCAATAAACTGTTTAAGAGCAGTGATCATCAGCGCTGTGTCTCTCTCCCTGCGTTAAACGCACCCGACGCGCTGCTGCAGCCGCTCAGACGTGCTGCGCCTGCAGCTCAAAACGCGCCGCGGGACCTTTGCATGTAAACTCGCTGGTTCTGTCGCGCCAGCTACATCCAGTGTGAACGCAGCGTTAGTCATTCGCTGCTAAGCTCAAAACAACCGCGCCTGGCTTGACGGAGAAACCAGGAGAACAGCTGAGCATATTTACGACAGTGCACTTTTACTTTCGCCCTCTGGAGGGAGCCTCACTGGAAAATCAACACCGGTTGCATAGTGTACCTTTAATATTTTTTTCCCTCTGGTGTTGAATGCTGTGTGACCAGAAGGATTTTTACTGTTTTTATTTTTCCCTTTTTGGATACTTCTTATGATATGTTACCGTAGCAACCATAGTAAGTTAATTTTTTTTTATTACAAAAAAGACTCATAAACAAAGATTTGCAGACTGGTATCCTCTCTTGAGTGCTGGTCAGAACTGAATACTTCTCTGTCATATCTCTTGTCCTTTGTTAGATGGGATCTTGAACTTTAGATCTTCTGCGTTTAAATGTCCTGAAATTAATTTGCCAAAACAGCGTACCATCTTGCTTTACCCTGTCTGTAGTAGTGTATTAAGTCTGATGGATGTACACAGTGTTGTCAAGGGACGGCTTTGAGGCTTGACAAACCTTAGGTAAGTTATGAACAGAATAACCTGTCAGTGTCCCCACACTGTGTCGAGCTTTTTTGGTCAGACATCGATTATGTTTCTCTGGTTTTCTTCTCTGTTTTTATCCCCCCAGAGATAAAATAATAGCATCCTCTGCATGGACGAAAAAGACCATTAAGTTTGTTTAGTTTGTAGCTTCACCTCTCAAATTTTTACTCGGCTCTTTTGTTGTTGCTGTCAGAACCCGTGCTGCCATCTTGATGCTTTGCGTGATGAACATGCTCTTCATTGATTTGTTGAAGTTCCTTGAAGCCTGAAAAGAGCATGCAAGAGCAGTCTGGCTGAAGTAAAAAAAAAAAACGGAGCAGAAAAAGGAATAGGGCTGCAATGTGTTTTGTTGGGATTTGAAATGATGAGTGTAATTGGAAAAATGCAAATCTCTCAAGTTGAGTTGAGTTTTTTTAAGATAAATTTTATTCCTTTTTCAAACATATTGGAATCTGAACAAGTTTCAACAACCTCTGCTGATCATTTAAAAAAGAGATAAAAGCAACATAATATGACAAAAGTTTTATCAATGAAAATATATGCAGAACTTGGAGTATCTAAGAAACACAATCATAAACTTGCTTCCTGAAGCACATCTAGTTAGAGATGATGTGTTGGGATCTGGAGCTGTACCACCTTCCTCCAGCAGAGTGCGCCGTGGGTCCTCCTGAGCTGAGCCTCCAACACACCTGTGGCGCATCTCATCATCAGAGTTCCAGCGCTATATAACCTGACTTCAGACCTTGCCACTGGCGTGTTCAGGGAGTGGCCTTGGGTGGCACAGGCCACCCCTGAAATCTGATTGGCCACCCCAAGTGTCACCCCAAAATTTTAAAATATGATTGGCTATATGCCCAGTCAGAGGCGGGCCACTGCGCTGAACGTAAAATGCGCCCTTGTTTTGAGTTGAAGTTGAAGAAGACGCGAAGAAGACGTTGATGAACCTACAGGTGAATACATTCTCCAGTCTATCAGAAAGCAGCACGTCTCTGGCGCGACGTTGTGAAATATGTGAGTAGCCTACATTTTACTTCACTTACTGTGCCTGTAGTTAGAAGCTGTAACGGTAATAAGCTAAACATGTACCCTGTCTTGTTTGTTTTATTGTAATCGGCACACGGCTGTCGTCTCCTCATCTCGTTAGAAAACACTGTTTTGACTGTCAACGATGCTAATGCTAACATTTAGCTATTCTGTACTGAGTAAAACTGTTATATTAGACCCCTATAACATCATTTACATTTCATTTTCATTCTTGTGTGTGCACAATTATTTATTGTACAACATATAAGAATGTCGTGCATTATGGGACTATTACAGTATGAAATTTGCAAGGAAGAAAAAGAAATCAAGGAAATCAAGGAAGAAATCTAAGATAGAGCCAGAGCAGGGGCAGAGCAGTCAGTCACAGGATGAGAGCCAGCCTTCAGCCTCAGCTGTACACATTGGTAGGTGAAATCCTGATAGTTCAAGTTTGTTCTCATGTTTGAACTTACTAATTTAGTTTGATTGTACCATACCTCTTAGTTTACTTA